AAAAAACCCTTTACCATGGGCATATCAGGACAACACACATGAATGTTAAAATCTCCCACAATAAGAACATGATCATATAATGGCATGTATTCAGCCAAGAAGTCAGCAAAGTCATTCACAAAGTCTTTATTGTATTTTGGGGGGCGATAAACCACCGCACACAACACAGTGCGAGAGCAGCCCAGCTCAAACACACTGAGTTCAAAGCTGGCGAATGAGAACCGTATTGATAGTTGCTTACACCTAAAACGATTTTTAAAGATCGTTGCTATTCCCCCTCCTCGGCCCAACATCCGCGGGGAATTAAAATAGCAGCAATCGTCAGGTAAAAGTTCAGAGAAGATGCTGCACTCACCAGCACTCAGCCACGTCTCACACAGGCAGAGAAAGTCCAATCCTCGGGAAGTGAAAATATCCTTCAGGATAAAAGTTTTGTTTGTTAGGGACCTAGCATTAACCAGGCCAATCCTGATAGGAAGCGGTACATCCGTATCGTCAGCCGTCTCGGCAGCCCGACACACAGGGCGCAGGTTCCGCAGATTCACCCCACGCCAGCGGGGACGGGGAGAGCAGGGTTTTCGGTGCTGGAACGTACCATCAAAACCAACAACCGGTACCAGCCAGGCAAAAAATCATGAGCTTCATACCATACACCAATAGAATTTCTAAGAAAAGGATTATGCGTAGATTTTTTAAGCTTTTTAATTGAGGAAGAATAAAGATAACTCTCTAATGGGATTGTTATTCCATTTTTTTCTATATCTGTCCATGCAGGAGGATCTGTTTCTATAAAGTAATACATAGCAGAGCATAACTGAGCTGCCCAATAATAAAGTTTTATATTTGGTACTTTAAGCCCTCCGCGTTCATACTGTATGGTAAATAAAGTAGGGACAGCCGTAACCGAGGACGCTTGTTATTCCATATAAACCCTATGAACATTTTCTTCAGTGTTACAAAGAATGTAGCTGGAAGAGGAAGAGGAATTGACTGAAAGAGATACAAGAATTTAGGTAAAATTGACATTTTATTGATATAATATTTATACGTCCAATCATTGAGATTGGCATTGCATTCCATCTCTCGAGCGAGTCCATGACTTTTTTTATTAATGGGTCATAATTAATTGAAATAATCTCTTTTATATTCGTGACTATCTTAATTCCTTAAACATTTCAAGTAAGTGTGGTAGAATTTTCCCTGCAAATGTTTTGTAAATTTCCATTGGGAGGCCATCCGGTCCCGGAGCCTTACCATTACTCATGTCCTGTAGAGCCTCTGAGAGCTCTTCTATACTTAAATTCCTTTCTAAATTACTTCTTGTCTCCTCTGATAATTTTGGAAATTGAATTTTATCAAGAAAATTATTTTGCCCCTCTGAATTGTTGGTGTTTTCCGATTTATACAAATTTTCATAATAGAGTTTAAAAACATTATTTATTTCCATTGGGTCTACAGTCGTCTCCCCATTCTCTAAGAAAATTGAATTAATGGCTCTATCTGTTTGTATTTTCTTAATTCTCCACGCTAGAAGTTTTCCTGATTTTTCCCCCTGATCATAATATGACTGCTTTAGCCACATTAAGTTCTTAGATATTTTACTACTAGTTATTTCATTATATTTGGCTTTCAATACAAGAAGTTCTTTCTGCTTTGAAGGGTCATTATTGGTAAAGAGCTGCTGTTCTAGTACTTTAATTTGCTTCTCCAGGCCTACTAATTGTGCTCGATAAATTTTGGATCTATATCTTGTAAAACTTAAAATCTCCCCTCTAATATATGCCTTGAAGGCCTCCCATTTAACTGAGGCACTTGTTTGATTCGTATTAACTGAAAAAAATAGTTCTATTTTATTATCCAGAAATTTTACAAAATCATGATCAAAAAGCCAACTTGCTTGAAATCGAAATCTGGGAGGGGGCAGTACAAAATTGTCTAATTGGATTGTAAACAGAACAGGGGCATGGTCGGACAGTAGGATACTATCATACCAACTTTTACCTACCTTCGCCACTAAACCATTGGAAATTAAAAAATAATCTATTATTGAAAATGTTTTATATGTACTCGAAAAACATGAGTATTCTTTCTTGCTTGGATTGAGATATCTCCAAATCTCAACTAAATTTAAGTCAGTCATAGATTTCAAGATAATTTTTTTAGACTGTTGATGGGTACTATCTACTCCTGAAGAGCGATCTTTCGCGGGGTCTAGTATACAATTAAAATCTCCTCCAATTACATAATGTCCGGTATAAGCTGAGACAGTGAAAAAGAAATTCTGAAAAAAGGAGGGGTCATCTACATTAGGAGCATATATGTTTATTAAATTAATAAGTGATGTCAAAATTGTACCATTAAGAATGATATATCTCCCTAACGGGTCTACATATTGCTGTTTTAACTGAAATGGAATGGACTTATGTATAAGAATCATGACTCCCCTGGCTCGAGAGGTGAAAGATGCATTGAAAACTTGTCCCGGCCATCTCTTAGTAACTCTACTAACATCTTCTTTTAATAAATGAGTTTCTTGTAAAAAGATTGTTTGATTTCATTTGTTTTAATCGACCTAGTACTTGTTTTAGTTTTACCAAATTATTTAATCCTCTTACATTCCAGCTGCAAATATTTATCTCCGAATTATTAATCATTTACCTATTCATATAACCATATAGATACAGCTGTGCCTGGGCATACCATATAGAATGTAAAACAGAAAGAGTGAGATAGTGAGAAAAAGAGAAAAAAACGGGTAACATGAACAACCCCCACCACCTCCCCCCGCCTGCATTCCCCCAATTGGAAAGCATAACAACACCCCTTACAATGAACCTTGGTTATGAAACATATAATATGGAGCAACATTCAGCAAGCCAACTCTCATTACTATCAGCCCTGGGCTCGCTACCCAAAAAAGAACTGGGCTCTGATTTAAAGCTAAGTCCCACCCTATGGAACATCGGTCTAGTTTGAATGGACATGTGCACCTCTATACATGAACTTGTTTACTCATATTGATGAAAATATTGGTGAAAGGAAAAATCAATTTAAACTACATTTAAACCGGCAAGGTAATTTGTCGAGATATTTCGGTTCTGTTGGAATACAATCAAAATCTCAATTGCTCGTAAATATAAACATCTTGACAATTTGAAAAAGATGGATAAACGCGCGTACCCTTAATAACTAAACACAGAGTTCAAGTACTGATGAGTCAACACTTACTTGTGTTAGAATGTTTAAGCATTGGTACGTACTGATCGAACAAAATCCTCTGCCTTCGCAACAGTTTTAAAGACATGACGCTGGCCGGCGTGCGTGACTATCAGGTGCACTGGGTAAAGCATCCCGTAGTGAATTTCCATGCCTCTAAGTTGTGCCTTTACTCCGTCAAACTGTCGTTGCCGCTGCCGAGTCTCAGCTGATAGATCTGGAAACAAGCTGATCCGTTGCCCTTCGTATCTTAACTCCTTCATTTTCCTAGCCGCTCTCTAAGCCTTCTCCCTGTCCTGGTAATTCAGGAACTTTATCACGACCGCTCTTGGAGTAGAGGGCGTTTCGGGTTTACTTGTCTTACGCGGTGCGCTCGTTCAATGGCAGGTGGGGATCCGAACTTATCTTTCAGAATTGCGGGGAAAAAATTCTCAATGAAGGCACACATATTGGATCCTTCCGTTTTTTCTGGCAGGCCAATTAGTCTCAGATTAGAACGCCTTCCTCTGTCCTCCAGGTCCTGCACCTTGTTCCGTAGAAATTCTGCTGTTTCTCCGAGTTTATTAACTTTGTGCTGAAGGGCTGATACGTCCTCTTCAGCTTGCGAGATCCTCTCTTCAGCCGCTCCCATTCGTTGCGCTTGTGACAGTAAATCCGATTTTATGTCGTTTATGGCGACCATCGTGTCAGTGAATTGTTTCGAACAGTCGTCTCTCAAAGACTGAACTGTGCATAGGATATCGTCGTTTGTGGCGGCGTTATCTTCACTCTGTGGCTCGGCTAGCTTCTTGCTAGCTTGCACTTTGCCTTCCTCCTCCATCTGCCCAGATGGCTTTGAAAGTTGTGCAGGTTTGGTGGTTTTGGGTGGCATTTTGTCCCGGCAACTTCAAAGTGATTTTCCAAACACTTAATGTATGAATTCTAGCCTTTCTGAAAGAATTTAAACGAGTATTCAGCAGCGAGCCCAGTTCGCGCGACTTATCAGCTGCACGCCATAACCGGAAGTCACTTTTACACTTTTACTTGAGTAAAAAGCTAGAGATGATACTTCAACTTCTACAGAAGTATTTTTAAACTGTAGTATCTATACTTCTACCTGCGTAATGAATGTGATTACTTTTGACACCTCTGTTCCCTATGCTAATTGTCATGACCTGCTCGTATGATCCTCGTGTGTGCTACGCCCCCTCATTACCTACACGTGCTACCCCGATTGTGGATTGTGCCCGCTTCAATGGCGCTTACCCTGGCGGCCATAATGGACGTGCCTCATCTGCCTTTCCGGCCGGCGCCCATCATGCCTGATCTGCCTGTCCCGCCCGTCCTTCTTGGTCTGGCGGCCGCAACACCCCCTGCTGGCCATGAGTTGGCGGTGCCTGCTGCAGCACCCCCTGCTGGCTACAAGTTGGCGGTGCCTGCTGCCACCGCAACGCCCGCAGCCTGCCTGCCTGCTGCCACTGCTACGCCCGCCCACCTGCTGGCCCCGCTACGCCCGCAGCCCGCCTGCCTGCAGCGGACTTGCCTGTTCCTGTCCAGGCTGAGGTGCTGGTCCCGCCGGCTACTGCACCATCCAGCGAGGCTCTGGCTGCAGTGCCCCCTGCTGGCCAGGAGTCGGCGGTTCCTGCTGTGCCGCCCGAGCTCCCGGCTTCGCCTACAGCTCCGCCTCTGCCCACGCCTGAAGTCCCGCCGCCTTCGCTGGCTGCAGCTTCACCTGCAGCTCCGCCCGTTCTGCCTGTCTCACTGGCTCTTGTCCCACCTGTTCTACCTGTCCTGCCTGTCTGTGTGATTACCCAGATCATGCTAGAAGGGCCTGACCAGCCAGTCCCGGTCGCTGCACCCTCGGAGGCCCCTGCCATGCTGCTGCCCATTCTGGCTACGGCGCCCCCTGCTGGCCCAGAGTCGGCGGTTGCTGCTATGGCGCCCCCTGCTGACCCAGAGTCCGCGATCTCTGCTGTGGCTCTGCCCACGCCCGAGGTCCAGGCGTCGCCTGCGGCCGCGCCCGATGCTCTGTCCATGGCTTCGCCCGCTGCAACGCCTGCAGCTTCGCCCACGCTCGAGGCTCCTGCTGTCCCGCCTCCTGCCTTGCCTGATTCGCCCGTCTTGCCTAACCTGCCTGTTTCGCCTGAGGCTCCACCTGAGGTCGGGTCTCCACCCAAGGCTCCTGGGTCCCCTGTTCCGCCCGTCTGTGTTCTGCCCTTACAGGTGTCGCCCGCTGCAGCATTCGCTGGCCTAGCCCCTCCTGCTGCTCCACCCGAGGACCCTGGTGAGGTGCCTGCTGAGGTCCTGGAGACACCCGCAGACCACCCGCCTGCTGCTGCCGCACCGCCCGAGGCAGCTTCCGCTGCGGCCTCCCCGCCTCCTGCTCCACCCGAGGCGGCTTCCGCTGCGGCCTCTCCGCCTCCTGCTCCGCCCGAGGCGGCTTCCGCTGCGGCCTCTCCAGCTCCGCCTGTCATGCCTGTCCCGGCGGCTCCACCTGTTCTGCCTGTCCCAGCGGTTCATGCTCCTGGGGCCGAAGTCCCAACGCCGTCTCCACCTGGAGATACGCCCGAGGCTTCCAGTGTCCCGGAAAGGGAGGGGACAACGAGGGGTAGCTCACGAACAATGTTGTTTTTCACGAACAATGTTGTATTTTGGAGTTTTATAATTGAACTAGGGTTAAGAAACTTTGTGGAATTTACATTGTTAAACTCTGAACCGGTATCTTGGAAGATGGCTAATATGAGTTAAGCAGATAAACCCTGCTAAAATTCAGCCTCATGTTAGAAAAGGGAGTGAGGAAATGTCTATATGTATGTATATGTATATATATTTTATGGTTAAGATTATATAATCAAAACTTATATATAACTTATATATAACTTACCTCTTATTCTTAAATGCCTGACATGGAATTTTTTACCCTCACAATGTTAGTTGATGTGATGACTAATTAAGGCTCTGTGAGCATGTGGAATGTAATAATCAGTTGCTAAAGGAGCAGACTGTGATGAATATGTGGTCAATCCCTCTTCTGTGGGGGTGCCACCTTGCTAGCCAATTTCACTTTGCCTCGGATTAAATGCACTGGCAGGGAGGCTCACCTAAGGCACCACATCAACTAGGACCAGTAAGTATAGGGATTATAGTGATACAAGTTTTTCAAAATTATGGGGAGAAATAAAAATAGAATCAAGGAAAGGGCTACCTAACTGGGTGTGGGCATTAGGATATGGGTGCAAGGGCTGGGAGAAAACATAATAAATATAATAAAGCAATGGGGAAGAGGAGAAATTTCCTTATAATCTGATTCTCCCGACCCTGGGATACCCACACCATACTATCTCACAGTGACAAATTTTCTGTCCACATTTATCCGATGCCAGGACATGATGAGTCAGGAGCCAATCACAGGAAACACTGGGAACAGGGCAGAGGACACCTTGGATGGGATGCCTGTCCATCACTGGACACACACATTCACACCCCAAACTCATTACAGTGTATCATTAAAGGAGATTTAGAAGACAGCTACAGAACTAAAAGCCCGCCATCACCCTGCCTAACACCATTATGTACATTCCTTGTAACTGTCACCTGGTTCTTTTTATCATATCAATTGCATAGACTAGCTTCCAGCTGTAAACACAGATTTTTCTGTGCTCTACAAAAACCAAGCATCACATATAGAACAAGAAAAAGGCAGCTATTCAGAATCAGTTGTTGCTATTGATTTGTTATTGATTGTTTAGTTCTGTACATATTCATTTGAAGATATTCAAAGATGATGGGTGGATGGGTGGATGGATGCCCGCCCCAGTGGAGCTTGCTGGCCCTTCTGTGCTTTCCACAAACTCCTGGTTATGCTAATTGCAAATCAGCACCCTGTGGTCCAGCTAAATTATACTCAGCTGCAGCTCATCTCCCTAATCAGTGCAGGAATAAAATGAGTGTCATTCATAGCCAGGCACTTTCAGGCCCTACTCTGCAGCTTGTAGCTTCAGCTATGGGTGTGATCAGAATGTAGAATCCCCAGGCAGCTCACCACATCACATATCACATCCTTTGGAGGCTTATGCTGGTAACTGTGGTGAATTGATTCTTTCTGGTAACTTGGCTGTGGGGAAATTAGAGGTATTTGCAGATCATTTTGACAGTGGTTTCTCCCTGCTATTATGGGATTTTATGACAGAGTGGAGGGAAAAAATCCTTCATATATTGAGTGAATTGGCTTTTTTTTGGATGAAATTAATGTAAAGCTGAAAGCAGTCAGTCAAGAAATTTCCAATATGTGAGAGGTCAATTTAATGAATCACCTTGCAATTTGTTTCAAGATTTGAAAAAGTTCAGATCTTCACCACGACAATGGGTTGTAAAGGTGGAGAAAGATCAGACATAAGAACATAAGAACATAAGAACAATACAAACGAGAGGAGGCCATTCGGCCCATCGAGCTCGCTTGGGGAGAACTTAACTAATAGCTCAGAGTTGTTAAAATCTTATCTAGCTCTGATT